CCCCCTCCGCCAGCGGAGCGGCCCCCAGGGAGAACCCCACCCCGACGTGCGCATCACCCGGAAGTGACGCGACCACGCCGGGCACGCTGGGGACTGGGCCGTGGTCATCCGAGGGAAAACTCTATGGTTTTCCCTTGGATGGTCGTGGCCCCGCCCCCAGCATGCCTGGCGTCCTAACGTCACTTCTGGGTGATGTGCATGTCGGGGTGGGGTTCCCCCCGGGGTGGGGTTCCCCCCGGGGCCCGATAAATAGATAAATAGGTACCACTTCGGTGGGAAGGTAACAGCGTTCCGTGTGCCTTGACGTTTAGTCATGCTGGCCATATGACCACGGAAACGTCTTCGGACAGCGCTGGCTCATCAGCTATGAAACGGAGATGAGCACTGCAACCCTAGAGTCGGATTCGACTGGCTTTCAAGCAAGGGAACGCTGTTACCTTCCCACCGAAGTGGTACCTATTTATCTACTTGCAATTTCTTGCTTTCGAACTGCTAGGTTGGCAGGAGCTGGAACTCGAGATGGGAGCTCACTCCATCATGCGGCACCCGGGTCTCGAACTGCTGAACTACTGACCTTTCACAGCCTGCAGTTCAGCGTCTTAACCACTTGAGCCACCGCAGCTCCTGCTTGTGGGGTAGGGTGGGGTAAAAATCTCAACAATAAACAAACAAATAATCTTGAGGTCCAGAAGGGAACTCCGATCTCCAGTCTTCCTTCGCCATCCCATACAATATGGACACTTGAGCCACCGCAGCTCCTGCTTGTGGGGTAGGGTGGGGTAAAAATCTCAACAATAAACAAACAAATAATCTTGAGGTCCAGAAGGGAACTCCGATCTCCAGTCTTCCTTCGCCATCCCATACAATATGGAGAGGTCTCAGAACCTCTCCCAGTTCTACTGTTCCAATCTCTAGCAGGCAGTTTACGGTGGCTACCAAGCAGAAACATCTTCCTTACAGCTTGGAGAAAGGTGAAACCAGCTAGGGGAGGTGGGAACCACCAAGAATCTTCTCTTGTATTTGTAATCAACACCCACGTGTCGTGTTGGTAGTGGTGGAAAGTACCATCAAGTCGCCGCTACCTTACGGCGTCCCCGTAGGGCTTGCAAGGCAAGAGACATTCAGAGGCGGTCTGCTGTTTCCTGCCTCAGCGTAGTGGCCCTACACTTTATGGGTACGCCACAATTATACGGCGGCGTGTCGGCGCAGCATGACGGATCCGAAAAGGACGATGGTCGGAGCTGCGGCGGTCGCGGGGCCGTGCACTGGAGGAGCCCGCCGGAGGAAGCCACGGAACAGGAAGAAATCTGCCCCGGGACACTGGAAGTGGAGCGCCGACACCCGAGGCCGCCGGAAGAAGCCAGACTCCAACAACAAGCCCTGCTGCCGGGTGCTGGTAGGAAGTCACACCCCCGTATCATTGTGGCCTTAGTCAGGAACCCATGATTGTGTGTAAGCCGCTCAGAGACCCTTCGGGGTTCGAGCGGGATATAAATGGAATG